GGTTCTTAACTGGAAGTGCATATTAAAATCACTCCAGGTTCAACAGATGGTGCTTAGGCAGTTGTAAATCCACATGCAAAGGAATGAAGTTGGGACCCGTACCTCACACTATACACAAGAATTCCTCAAAATGGATCAAAAGCCTAAATGTAAGAGCTAACACTATAAAACTATTAGAAGAAAACACAAGTAAATCTTCATGACCTTGGACAAAGGAATAGTTTGATACAATAGCAAAAACAGAAGTGACAAAAAATAGATAATTGGATTTTATCAACATTATAAACTTTGTGCTTCAAAGGATACCATCAATTAAGTGAAAAGATAGCCCACAGAATGGGAGAAAATATTTGCAAGTTATGTATCTTATACTATCCAGAATATATATGACCAACTCTTACTACTCAACAATAAGAAGACAATGCAGTTAAAACATGACAAAGGATTGGAATAAACATTTTTCCAAAGAAAACATACAAATGATAATAGGATCATAGAAAGATGCTGAGTATCATTAGTCATCAGAGAACTACAAATCAAAATTTAGTAACTTACCACCTCACCATCCGTTAGGATGGCTCTAATAAAAAGTAGGGCAGTGAAGTGTTGGGCAGATTTGAAGTTGCGGCAGGTACATTGCCCAGCTCCTCTGCAAGGCAAAGTTCTTTTAAACCATGGGTACACTGTAATGTTGGTATAAATAAAACCTAAAACTTGCAGGTGAAAATTGAAAAATCATGTTGCCTTTGAAACCATTTGAGTTTTTATTGGCCGCCCTGTTTTGTCATTGCGTAAACTTTGCTGGGTGTCTCAGCCTTGAAGATATCTCCTCTACATTTCAAACTGTTTGCCCAAGCACATCCGGAAACTTTCAAGTAATTCCTATGGGAATTAGGTGCACTTTGGGAGGAAAGTGTTCAAATGGGAAGGAGAACGGGGGAAAGGAAGGAAAGGACAAGACAAAAAAGAATAGAAGAAAAAATGAGAAACAAAGCTTTTGTAAATAAGGAGGGGAAATGGATTGAAGGGAGGGGAAGGGAATGAGAAAAAAAGAAGAAACAAGACAGATCACGTACAGGTACAAGTTCTCTATGACGAATGTGATCATTTTGTGTATGTAAAGTGTACCAATACAATTTTTAAAGAAAGTAGGTGGACTTTATTTATGTATTTCATTGCCACTTGAATTTAGAATTGGATATTAACACAGGGGCACTAGGCAAAAACAAAACAAACAAAGGCATGAATACTGATAGTTTAAAGATTTTTTTAAAATCCACTTTGTTATATTATTAGGAACTCTTCCTACTAATAAAGTTCTTGGAAGTGAAACAATTTGGTAACAGCCATTGACTGAAAATACTGCACATTATTGTTTGCTTTGTAGCAAATATGTGCATCATTGTATGTCCTTCCCAACAGAGTTTCCTGCCTGAGTGGGTGTTTGGTAAGTGCCTTTAAATGAGTATGTATCATACTTCGGTCCACTCTTTGGTGGCTACAGTGTTCCAAAACTTTTTGAGGCTCTTTGGCTCATATGCCGTGTCTGTGAAATGAGCACAAGTTTTTCCTCTAATATCAACAAAATTTTTTATCATGTTGGTGTTTTAATTAATACATATTTTATAATAGTAAATAAAATATACAGTATAATATTATAACCACATTAGTAGACAAGTTGAAATACTCCTCCAAAAAGACCATTTTACACGTATCTTAGTGACTCGTGGGAGTGAGTCAAATTGAGCTACCTTAAGTGCAAAACACATAAAGTTAGACATTATATTTGGCTGTAAATGATGCCATTGGAGCAGTGCAGTATTGTGATAAGCACCACTCATTAACCATCTCTCACGAGCCAGGATTTGTGCAAGGGAGGCTGTTATTTCTAATCCTGCAAATAACCTCATATGCTAGATCATTCTGTTCTGCTTTGTTAGGGAGGAAACACAGTTTAACTCTATGTCTGCTGGGATCCAAACCCTGTCCTGTAAAAATATGACATACACAGCGGTCCAAAGATACTGGTTTCTAGTCTTGCTTTTGCCATGGTAACCTTACCTAAGGTTCCTTTTTTCCTTATTTGTAAAGTAAGACATTTTTTTATGACTCCTGAATTATTTTCAAGCCTGCAAAGTCTCTGAAGAGAAATTGTATTTATAGAGGGACTATTGAAATACTTTGTCACTATATACAGATGATTTGCACATAAAATATTGGTCACAGTAATTGGGAAATGACTATCAATAGTCAAATACTTGAAATCAAGTTATTGAACTTAAAATTCTTCATTCATCAGTTCACAGTTTGTTCAGTGTATCCAGTACCTCTGTTATGGACTAAATATTTGTGCCTGTCCCCACCTGTGGGTTGACTTTCCTACTGCCTCTCGGGCAATGGTATGAGGTGCTGCCTTCGGGAGGTGATGAGGTCGTAAGGGTAGAGCCCACAGGAACGGGGTCAGCCCTTCCAAAAGACTCAGAGTTCCTGCTCTCCCCTCTCAGCGCTATAGAGACAGAGCAAGAGGAGGGCCACCTCCAAACCAGGAAGCAGGCTGTTAGCTTCACCTTGGACTTCCAGCCTCCAGAACTGTGAGAAAGAAAATTCCTTTATGTAAGCCTTGCAGTCTGGGGTATTTTTTATTACTGGAGCCCCGTTTCACTAAGACAGCTTCTTGGCTTCTTTCAGTTGCACATTCCTTGCTCAGCTAGACTTCCACTGTGAAAGGCATGGCAGCCTGACCCTCTGCATCGCGAGGGCTGCAGGAGCAGAGGCAGACAAGGGAGACCCACGTCTTCAGCTACAGATGTAAACGTGTCTCTGGGTTCATGTACCCCCACTGTTTTCTAAAGGAAGAAGGGAACCTGAGTAGCAAGCAGCACCCCATAGACTCTGAGTTGAAGATGAAAGCAGCTGTTCTGATGACATTTTCTTCCCTTTTGGAGGGTTATCTTTATTGATTCTGTTAGTTTCTTTTGACTGGAAAGCACCATTCGGAACACTCGTTTATAATTCCAGGATCACCTTCATGATTTTCGGGATTTAGCAGGGGAGACTTTTTACTTCAATGACCTCTCCTGTGTACACTCAGAATGAACAGCAGGGAGGGTGTAGTAGACTGACAACTGGCGGCCAACTTATAACCCCCAGCTGAACTGCGTAAGTGTGGTGCTGGGTGTGGGAGGCCCACCTGAGGACTGTTGCCAGCAGCGTAAGAGGCAGACCTGGAGAAGAAGAAGCAGGCGGTTTGGAACTGAGAGAGGCTGTTGAGACCTGCTAGAAGCTGTGGGGAGCTGGCTTTCCTGATGAACTTGGCTGTTTTCATCCTCCGAGGAGCTCGGGACCTCGCTGGCACTGAGAATGGCTTCAGTTCACTTGGAGAGCTCTGGTTCTCACTTTGAGCATAGCTTCCTGGTTCTGGAGGGGAAGATGGTGCACTGCCGGCCTCCTGGAAAAGCTTGCTGCCTTGGCTTCCCTGATAGGAACTCAACCATCCTGATCGTCGGAGGAGCTCAGGACCTCACTGTTGCCGAGGATGGCTGTGGTACCTTTTGGGGGAGCTCTGGTTCTTCTGAGCATCACTTCCTGGTTTCAGTGCAGATCCCTCAGCCTGCTAGCACAGGTCCTTCATCCTGCTGGCACAGACTTTGTAGATTCCACCACTGACCTTTGGGCCTTCCCAGCAGATCTGCGAAACATGCCTGCATGAGACGTTGTCGTGGGCTCTGCGCCTCCAGTTGGATTCGTGGGAGGCATTGTTATGAGCTCTAGGTATTCAGCTGGACTCATGTAGGACATTGCTGCAGGATCCAGGCCCTCAGCTGAATTCCTTGGTCTTAGTGTGTGGACAGATTTCCTGCACTCTTTTGTATATCATTCTTTGGGTGACTATTATAAATAATCTTATAAAGTATGTGTCCTGTATTATATTGTTCCCCTTGCAAAAATAAGCCCCACAGCAACACAGAGAGTAAAAAGAAAAATAAAGCCTTGCACTGCTGTGTTTGAGAGGACCAGGTTGAGGCAACTGGGAGGGTGGATCCCTATTATTTACCACCTTCTCCCCACCCCTATGTTAGAATTTTATCACTGTGATAAACACAACAGATAAACAATTTGTTATGATTTGTGTCTGGATGTCCCCCCAAAGCCTCATGTGGTCAAGGGGGGCAGGCTTTTTAGAGGCAGTGGAATCTAGAGTTTGTGACTGATTCATGGTCTAGTGCTGGGATTAAGGGTGTGCTACACCTGCTGTAGGGCGGGTAGCCTGCATACCATATGAGGGGCAGAAGGAGGCTTGCTCTCCTCTCTTTTGCTTGTTGCTTTTGCTGTCTTTGGCCACACCACCCTGCATTGGAGCCAGCCGGTTATGGACCGAAACCTCCACAAACTGTGAGCTAAATAAACCTTTTCCTCTTTAACCTTGGGTGTTGGGTATTTTGTCTCAGCAATGAGAGAAAAGTAAGTCACAACTTGAAGAGAGTAAAGGTTTAATTTGGCTTGCTGTTTCAGAGGCTTTGGTCACTTGGCTCTGTTGCTTTGGAGCCTGTGTGAAGGCGGGACAGCATGGCGGAGGTGCACACCTCAGCAGTGAGGAAGCAGAGAGCAAGGGGCAGAGTCCTCGTTGACCCTGAAAGGACACACCCCCAGTCACCTTACTTCCTTCTGTTGGCTCAGCCTCCTAGACGATCCAGGCTGGGGGCCAAGGCCTTAGCACATGGGTCTTGGAGGGAAATCTAAGATCCAAACCACGGTGGACCCCAAAAGAATCTTAGTGACACACAGTTGCAAAGCCACTTCCTGAAACAAAGGCTGTGAGTGGAACCTTTGCTGTGACTGTCAACTTTTCTGCCTTCCCACGTGGGCTCCCTTTATCGGTAGGGCGGGACCATCCCTTTTACTTGGAGTTTTCAGTAGACTGCCTGTCAGTAAATGTCCACAGATTCTGTATGCTCTCATGATAGATCCCTCTATTGTCTTGGACTCCTCGAACAGCCTTCTTTATGTTTGACTTCATTTTATTTTATTCCCCGAAGTAGGCCATAAAGTAGGGTACACTTGAGACATTTCTAGCTGAAGGGATGCACCTTGAGACCATACTCCTAAGTGAAATAAATTGGACACACGTTTAAATATTGCATTGTTTCTCTGGTGTGAGAAACTAACAGTATAAATAAGGGCCAAAATGTATAAGAGATACTGGGAAATGGGAAGGAATACAAGGGAAGGGCAAGGAGAAAAGGAAGCAAGGGAAAAGAAAAAAAGAATAGAAGGAAAAAATAGAAATAAAGTTTTTGTAAACAAGGAGGGGAGGAGGGGTTGAAGGGTGGGGAGGAAACCGAAAAAAAGAACGAAGCTATATTATGTACAGGTACAAATTCTCTATGATGAATGTGATCATTATGTATATCTAAAATGTGCCAATAACATTAATTTTAAAAATAATAATAATTAATTTTAAATAATAATAATTAATTTTAAAAATAATACATTTTTCTTTGTTATAACAAATGGCATTTTAATACTTAAGTAACATTAATATAGGTAATGTTAAGTAAATAGTCCATAATCCATCCCTGGCTGTTAACCATCTCAGTGGTTTTTACTATTACAAATAATTCTATAGTGATCACCTGTATTAAGAACCATTGTGCCCACGCTGCCCTCCACAGTGCCTAACACATCCTGGGAACTCAATATGAAATCCTTAGATTAATATTAAGATTCTGAACAGCAGAATTAGTGATAGGGAATCATTCCTTTAGACATTTTCTGTAAAAGAAGTAAACCCAGTAGGATAGTTGGGAGCGTCTTACAGTCTCCAAAGGCAAAAGTACCTCTTGGCCTTGGAAAAAGGCTGGGCCAGGGAGCTTGCGTGATGTCAGTAATGAGTTCTCCATCATCTGTGTCTGCGCTGTCTGCATGTATCTTTTATTTCCATCTGTCTCTGGGAGGGCGTCCTTTGCTATTCTTGTCCCTGTGGTAGAAAGACATGATGAGGCCTCAAGAGCAGATCCAGGTCCACGGGACGTGACACCCAGCAGGTGTCTACATCAGCCTTGTGGCTATGTGAGCTGAAGCCTCTCCTCCTCCTCCTGTTTTGGTTTTGAAATTTTTGTGTTTTAAGACAGGGTCTCACTGTGTAGTTCAGTCTGGCCTTAAATTCCCTATGTAGCCCAGGCTGGCGTTGAACTCATGGCAGTCCTCTTGCCTCAGCCTCCTGAGTGCTAGAATTACAGGCATGTGCCACCACACCGGCTTCTTTCTTCTTCTTAAGGTAACTGCATCCATTTAAGAAATTTTTTCTGTTGTAGATTTAAGTAATTTTATGAACTTAAATTCACCCATCTGTAAGCCATGTGATAATTATAGTAGCCTTCATCTATCCTGGATTATAGGAGTTTATAGAAATTCTCTCTCATTCTCTCACTTTCCCCACCCCATACCAGGGGTTGAATGCAGGGTTTTGACACTGAGCTATGTTCCCTAGTCTTATAATTGGTTGACCGATTGATTGATTGATTGATTGATTGATAAGAGCAGTTGAGTTAGACAGGGCCTTGCGAAGTTGCTAAATTTCTCAGACAAGATTAGAATTTGTGGTCTTCCTGTTTCAGCCTCCCAGAATACTGGTATTATAAGCAGACTCTTCTTGAAAGAAGAGCAGTTATCTCCATTTTGGCTAAACCTGGCCCTGTTTCCTTGAACTGATATGTACTGAGCTGGCTCGGACTTTTCCTTATCCCTTCAGTTGGCTTTAAGCAGTGCAAATTGGCCCAGCCGAGGTGCTGATGTGCAGTCTTTGAAGCAAAGTGACAGGGCAGTGTTACCCTGCCCCCGAAGCTCCCCAAAAAAGTGTGAGCCTGGGTGGGATGGAGAGCCATGCTCCATGCTGTTGCAGGGATTGGCCCTTGAGATAAGAGGCTGACTTCCCAGGGCATGAAAGATTATACATCAGAGCTGAAGCACCGACCCTGAGACATTAACTGTGACATCAAATGTAATTTGTAATTGTGTTATGCAAATTACTCCTTCTGCTTTACCCTTCTCTCTACATATTGCAGAGGTGATGTCAGACCGCCTACCTAGCCCAGCTCACAGCACTCAGGTACTTCCTGCCATTCTCACAGCCACTCATCCTCAAGCCATTCCCTTCAGGAGTTAATAAAACCTGGGTTCTGTCCTGGGTCAATGCCTCCACTCCAGTTAACCACCTTACTAGCTGGCTCCCCACAACTAGAAATATGCCTTAGTGTCTTTACTCTTGCATGGGTTGCACTGGAAGTGGTAGTTTGGAATTGACTCGCTAGAATTCCAGTCACTGTTCCGTGGGATTACGAATATAAACTTCTCAGACCGTGACAAGGAGCGGGAAGGGCTCGCTCTACGCCACCATGGCTGGCTTCTTACTCTAGCACTGTCAGGGCTTTATTTTCCATTTCTAAATCTTTAGGAGGCCAAAATTTGGTAGAGCTGACCTCCCCCTGGGAGACCTAAGAATCTTTCTCTTCCCATTTCCAGTGGCTGTCCTGGCATTTCTGGTCATTCTATACGACAGTCATACGGGTGGCCTCATCTCTCTCATATTTGCTTGTTTTTGTGGCATTCTTTCTCTTCTGTCTCTGACGCATCTCTGTCTGCCTAACTCAAATAAAGACACTTGACATTAGATTTAGGACACAGCCAAATAACATAGGATTATCTCTTCAGCCTAAAGCCTTAATTTCAATATATAGAGACCCCTTTCCCCTGTAAGGTCACCCTTGTGAGTTCTGGGGATCAGGATATACCTGGTTGAGGACAATACCATATGACCTAATACAGAAGCCATCCTGCAGTTACCATAATGTAGACTTGCTTGGTTCTACTGTTTTGCTACTTCTATCTCTGTATTTTTTTATTTCTGTATTTTGTTTCTGGTATATAAAATATTACATTCTGCATGTGAATTTAGAGTTGGGTGGAATATCTGTTTTCCAACCTGTTTCTTTGGAAAATAATACAGCAAGAGAATGTTTGTGTAGGTATTACAAAATGAGTGAAATCATTGTAATTTACCAGTTTTCTTTTTTTAAAAGTATTTATATATTAAGCTTTTTAATTAATACATGTTTGAAATACATGGTCAGATTCATCTTAGGGAGCAGGAATATATACTATAGATCTATATCTATAGACATATCTATAGATCTACATCTATAGATATATATTTAACATTTTGATTCTCATGATTTCTCTTCCCTCCTCAACCACCACCTTGCCTCCGCTTCAGACTCCCTTTTTCCTCTTTCATCATCATCCTCATTAGTGTTATTATAATTATTTAGTACATGTTTGTGACATAGAAAGATTGTATTCCTTGTGGGCTGTTAGTATCTTCCCATCCTTGGATTCCTGATGCCCTCCCATTTTCCATTTATCTCTTTGTGTTCTTGAATATGTCCATGAATACGTGAATAAAGAAAATGTACCATCTCCACATAATGGAATACTACTCAGCCACAAAGAAGGGCAAATTCAAGACATTTGTAAGAAAATGAATACAACTTGAAAATAATGTTAAGTGAATTAAATCAGACAAACAAGCTTAAGTCCTTTTAAAATGTGGACAGTTTTCTGAGCATATACATAACAACTTTTTGTCCACATGGGATAAAATGAACTTGTGATATCAGTTGTTTCTAAATTATATCCTTAAAAAAATTATTTTACATTTCCAATGAACCAAGTATAAATTTCACTAAAATACAGAATACTTCCAGTGTAACAATATCCCACAACCTTTGGACCAACTAATACTGAGTAAATACAGTACAGAAGAAATAGAGGAATAAATACTGTACAAACTGAAATACATTTGTCAAAATTGAAGAAAGGAGAGATTCTGTGGACACATGAATCCACAGTCATGTTACTTTGGCTAAATTTAATTGTATTCATTTCATTGAACAACAACAAAAACAACCAACATCGTATATAGAGAGTATACAGTGTATACAGTGCAATCTCTATATTGTGAAATTACCACATTCTTCCATGGTAGTATTTGGATCACCTAACACAAGCACCTTTTGGGTATATGGAAAAACACTAAAATCAATTTTTAGCAAATTGTGATGCTATGTGGCACTGCATCAATCACTGTAGTCACTATGGGATCTATACCATTTTCTGCTCTACAAGAGAATCGTTGTACTTTCTCATTCATGTCTCAACTTCTCCACGCACATGCAGCCATCACTAAACTCTCAGCTTCTTTAAAGTTGTTGATTTTATTTATTTATTTTTAATTAAGTTTATTGGTATTTTAGATATTATTTTTAGGCATTTTTCAGTATTTTAAGGTATTTTTAGGTATTTTTATTTTCAGGTATTTTTTATATATTTTATATATTTATGTATTTTAGGGATTTTAGGTATTTTTTAATTAATTAAGTTTATTGCTATTTTTAGGTCTTAAATTTTAAGTATTTTTAGGTATTTTTGTTACTATTATTAGGTATTATTTAGGTATATTTTATGTATTTTTTAGCCGTATGGTTTCTGTAGGCATTATAAAATGAGTGGAGTCACTGTAACTTACCAGTTTTCTTATGTGTGATTCATGGAGCTCTACAGTCAGTCATGTGGTGAAAGCCCAGTGGCCATCTGCTAAATATGCAGATGCAGTATTGCTACCTAGACATGTTCTCTTCTGGAAAACACCACCCTGTCAGTTCATTACCATGTAATTTAGAATGGCATCTTGTAAATCTTTCTCAACAATACATATTCAAATCAGAAGGCTTGAGTTTTGGTATAAGGAAATTGCTGTCAGGATCCTGAAAACACATTTAGGAGCCTTGTAAAACTACATTGTATAGAGGTTTGATTTTTATAAAATTTACGTTATTTATTTCACTTTGGATGTGTTTATAAGTAACCAAAGGACATCAGTCTCTTTTACTCAATTCTTATAGCAAGGCCATTGTGTTAGTATGACATCTGTGGGGCAGAGGAATAGACCCACCTTAACGAGTATATTTCTCTTTGGCCAACCTTTCTATCTATTTTTAATTGAGCTTTATTTAAGAACTAAGAATTAACACAGAGACATCCCTGTGTACCTTGTCTACTGTCACCCAGTGGTAAAGTTTTATAGAAGTATAATGTAATACCACATCTAGGATACTCCTATTGATAAAATCCACTGATCTTATTGAGATTTGCCCATTTTGCTTGAAACCACGCGTATTGCATTCTGCACAATTTTCTCACCTGTGTATGTTCATTCTTGGATCTATGACCACAGTGAAGACACTGGAGGTCTTCTAACACCGGACCCACTTCTCTCCAGCTTCTTCCTCCCCTCAGTCAGGTCCATAACCACTAGTAATGACTCTATTTTGCATTCCAAAAATGTTTTCATTCCCAAATTCTACAGAAGTGGAATCAAGCATTTAAAATATCAAGGAACTTCAGAGATTGGCTTAGTTCGCCCAACATAATTTCCTGGAAATTCATCCAAGTTATTCCACATATCCATAATGTTTCTTTTTATTACAACAGAATAGATCACAATTTATTTAACCATTTAGTTGTTAAAGAACATCTGGGTTGATTCCAGTTTTGAGATATTATAAATAAAACTGCTATGAACGTTTGTGTACAGGATTTTGTGTGAACCTAAGTTTTCATTCCCCTGGGATAAATGCCCAGCAGTGCAATTGCTGGGTATGGTAATTGCATGTTTAGTTCTATGAGAAACTGCAGAACTGTTTCCAGAGTGGCTGTACCATATCACATCCCCTCCAGCGGTGCACGAATGATCCAGTGTCTCACATCTTCTTCAGCGTTCTGCGGTGTCACCAAATAGGTATGTCACTGATAAGTATGCAGAGATGTCTCCCTGTGACTTTCATTTGCATTTCCCTCAGGGCTAATGATGTTGAGTATCTTTTCATGGCTTATTAGCTGTCTGAATATCACTTTCGATGA